CCCGGCCAGTGCTGGGAATTCTCACCCGGAGGTGAGAGAATAAGGACACTGCTCCTTCCTCAGGAGTCTGGGGCTTCCAGGCAGCCACCAGGTGTCATCAGCAGCTTGGCAGGTGGGTGCATTTCCTGTCCCAGCCACAGCAGAGACTCAGGCTATTTCCTTCACCCTAGAATGGAGTCATTGGTTACTATGTGCAAGTTTGTAAGAATGAAAGGATAAAGGAAAAAAAGATGAAAATTATTGTAGCAATCATTGAGTCTGCCCCCCACCCCATAGTCTCATTCTGCCTCTTTGGATGCATGGTGGAATCATACTTCCCTGCCCTCTGAATCCATGTTGGAAGCCAAGGAAAAGCGAGTGGAGGTGACACTGGTCACTTCCCGGTGGCGAGCCCAGCAACCAATTTGCAATTTGCCACATTTTCCTTCTTCCTGCCACTACTCTGTCTGGTTCCAGATGGCCCCATTCCATCCACTAGGGTCCCTGAGTGAGGAGGACATGGAGGACAGCCTCTAGCCACTCCAAGTAGGGCATGTAGAATGGATACAAATAAGTCTTTGTTTCGTTTTTGTTTTTGTTTTTTGAGACAGAGTTTTGCTTCTGTCACCCAGGCTGGAGTGCAATGACATAGTCTTGGCTCACTGCAACCTCCACCTCCTAGGTTCAAACAATTCTCCTGCCTCAGCCTCCTGAGTAACTGGGATGACAGGTGCCTACCACTATGCCCAGCTAATTTTTGCATTTTTAGTAGAGATGAAGTTTTGCCATGTTGGCCAGGCTGGTCTCGAACTCCTTACCTCAGTTGATCCACCGGCCTCGGCCTCCCAGTGTAATCCACCGGGATTACAGGCAAGAGCCATCGTGCCTGGCCAATCTTTGTGGTTTTTAAGCACTGAGACTTTGGCATCATTTGCTACCACAGCATAACTTAACTTGCCCAGAATGGTTAAACTTTTTTTTTTTTTTTTTTAAGAGGCTCTCACTTTGTTGCCCAGGCTGGTCTCAAACTCCTGGGCTCAAGGGATCCACCTGGCTTGTCCTCCCAAAGTTTTGGGATTACAGGCGTGAGCCACCATGCCTGGCCATAAACTTTTTATAAAAGGATGAACCTACTCAAGATTATAGAAACTTAACAGAAGGAAGGAATGCGTACAGGCTGTTGGGATCATTTTGGGATTCTTCCTCTTTCCTCGTTCACTGACAGGACAGCTTCAATGCCTGGACGCTGCACAGAACACTTTCCTTTCCACTCTTCTGGGAGTCCACCTACTTATTTTCAGGTCATCTCTGCAGGCCTCCATCCTGCCTGCAGCCTGATGGAGATCTGGCTTCCCATTCTGTCAGGCAAGCATTACACAACTTGCAGTTTTCATAAGCCACATGGCAGACTGAGCTCCAGGAAAGCTGGTTGGAAAATGCCATAGGCAACATAAAGAAGATGAAATTCTTGGCAAGGTGCCCATCGAACCTTTTTCTCCTGTGATGCATTGAGAATAAAGGCAGGGCAGACCTATCCATCAGGCACAGCCGGTACAGAGCCCAGAGCTCCTGGTACTTTTAGTGGCCCATGAAAATGCTTTGATTTCTTTGTTTAAACTAGAAGATGGTGTTTTAATATATAATGTTAAAACAGACATACTGTAGGGGAGAAAGATTTCTCACCCATCACAAGGTTCATGGCTAAGGCACCTATAATAAAAGACAAATTAACAAGAGAAAAGCACCCAGATTTATTTAATATACATTTTATGTGGGCTGGGTGCAGTGGCTCACACCTGGAATCCCAGGACTTTGGGGGGCCAAGGCAGGAGGATCACTTGAGCCCAGGAGTTCAAGACTAACCAGGTAACACAGCCAGACCTCATCTCTACTAAAAATTTTAAAAATTGGCCAGGTGCAGTGGTATACACCTGTAGTCCCAGCTACTTTGGAGGGTAGGCTGGGTGTGGTGGTTCACACCTGTAATCCCAGCACTTGGGGAGGCTGAGGCGGGCAGATGACTTGAGGTCAGGAGTTCGAGACCAGCCTGGCCAACATGAAGAAACCCCATCTCTACTAAAAATACAAAATTAGCTGAGCATAGTGATGCATGCCCGTAATCCCAGCTACTTGGGAGACTGAGGCAGGAGAAACCCGGGAGGCGGAGGTTGCAGTGAGACATTGCACTCCAGCCTAGGCAACAAGAGCAGAACTCTGTCTCAAAAACAAAAACAAAAACAAAAACAAAACTGGGAAAACTGTATTTTCTAGACAGCCATGCAGAAGTATGATTGGAGGATAAAAATGTATGATCTAATGACATTAAACTGGAAAGTACTTAGCAAGGCCTGTTTAGATTCTTTTTTATGTTCCTGTGTCTTCAGAGAAAAGGACATTCCTTTCCTTGGGTGTAGGAAGCACATCTCTGGAATGAAGGTTTTCTTCGATAGAAGGTCAGATCATTCTCTTAAGGCCCTCTTCAGGGGAGAAGAGTGAGGAGAAGGTGAGGGTGACCGTCCTGCTTCTCCTATTTTCTCAAAGGCCACCGTGCTGTATTTGTGGATAGTATGTCTTGAACTCAGTATCAACTTAGTAACAAAATATAATTTTTAGTGCTTTTTATAGAAGAAAGGGACCCTGAAGGCAAAAATGGGGACCCACAAAAGTCATACTCTGGCCCTGGAGAAAGAGTTTGAGAGTTTCATAACCAATACACATGTGGGTTACAATGTGGTTCTTGGAACTGAGTATAGACATGGCATTGCTGTGGTCTAGAATGTCTTCTCCTGTGTGAGTGTGTCAAAATTTCCATGACAATCTAGCTCTATGTTTGCTTTTCTAAGGTTAACTCAGGACACCAAAAGGCCATAACTGGTGGGGGAAGAGTCCTGGATCAAAACAACGTGCATGGATATAGCGGATTGTGAGACCGCATAGGGACAGGACTCTGCCCTCACCGGGACGGGGCCCCCACCCCATGCCTGCCAATTAGTAGACTTTGCACCACAATCAGTCTAGCGCCATCCCTGCTGACCTTGCCACCTTGAAGAAACTAAGATAAGCAGCATCCACCCTAAATCTTACTCAAGGGAGTTAATCCTACCACCTGCATGCACACAAGACCAGAATAATGATCTTTGCCCCTTGTCTCATCATAATACCAAAATCCCTGCCCAGGGGAGGGCTTACCCGCTATTTTCTGCTCATGCAACAGAATGTTTATGTGTTAGCATAATTCCTTACCATGCCTGCACACCCTGCACTCCACCCCACACAAGTAGTGAGGCTCATCTACCTCATGAATTATGCATGTCACTCTCCTCACGACCAAAATGCACTCCCCTCAGTGGGGCCAGCCAAGAACTCTTGCTCCTGGGCTAGTTTCCTTGTGTCAGAACACAAGCCCCCATAAAGCCTTGTCTGGGAAACTTGTTTGGCCTTGTGTCAATTGCTATTGCACGGGTGCCTAAGAACCCGTGGTCAGTAGCAATTCCTCTAGCTTGCTCCCCATGCTTACATTTTTCCTTGCTTCTTCCCAGCAGCCTCTGACTTCTCCGAGGAGTCCAGCAGTTTCCAGGGAAGCCAGTATCATACCTGGCTCCAGGGGTGGAGCACAGGCCTGTGTTCAGCACATCAACCCTGATCACGGTGGTCTTCTATGGGTGGTCACCACTCCAGTCCAGCTACAGTGAGTCTTGGAACCACCGCTAGGAATTCTGGGTGAGAGCATGCTTTCCTAGATGGCAGGCTGTGCAAAGGGGAGTCCGTGTTCCTATCCAATTTGCTACTATGATCAAAGTCAAAGGAAATCTCAGAGGAACTGAACCGGAGCCGTGACCAAACCACGCTTGAGTGCTACCATGAGATCTTTTGTGTTACATAAGCCTGTAATTTCCCTTTTCCTGTTAAGCCCATTTGGATTGGGTTTTTCTGTTAGTTTCAACAACCTTACTGGAACTAAATGTGTTTTTATTATCCCCACTTTATAAATTAGGAACAGAGGGACTAAGTCACTTGCCCAAAGCCACAGAGCTAATTCCTATAGAAGCCAGGATTTGATCCCTGGCAGTGTGACTCAGAAATTATCCAGGCTTATCTTAACATGTGCTTTGCATTGATATCAAAGGCTATGTTTTCAAAGATTTCATAAATTTCATCTGCAATGTTCCAGGCATGGGCTACCCAATAAACACTATAAGTATGAACAGATCTAAGCAGAGAACATTTGATACACATAAGAATTTTGTTGGCCGAGTGTGGTGGCTCATGCCTGTAATCCCAGCACTTTGGGAGGCCGAGGTGGGTGGATCACTTGACCTCAAGAGTTTGAGACCAGCCTGGGCAACATGGTGAAACTAAACATGGTCTAGTAGGAATATAGTTTAGTAGAAATATGGTCTCTACTGAAAATACAAAAAAATTAGCCGGGTGTGGTGGCGCATGCCTGTAGTCCCAGCTACTGGGGAGGCTGAGACAAGAGAATTGCTTGAACCTGGGAGGCGAAGGTTGCAGTGAGCCAAGATCATGCCACTGCACTCCAGCCTGGGTGACAGAGCAAGACTCCACCTCAAAAAAAGAAGAAGAAGAAAAAAAAGAATTTTGTCTTTCTCTGTATATGTCTACTTTAAGGAGCTACCCCATTCTGGGAAAACACAGTTGGCACCACGTGAAAAGGCATGCCCATCACCACATTCACAAGGCATGAGACCAGGAATTTAAAAGGCACCCTCACTGCCTCCCGTCCACCTCCCCACCCTCATCTGGCCCCGTCTTCCCACCACGTGTGTCCTCTCCTCCTTCCTTCAGTTCCACACAAGACCCAATTCTCTCCGCCCCCGGCACGGTTTGCCTCCTGGCTGTGTCTCCAGGTTTGCTCCTTGACTCAGCCCATTCCTGGACAACAACAGCTCCTTCCATGTCTTGACTTAGCTGCCTGGACCTCGCCTTCCAGGTCTTCTGAAGCAGCTCACCCCACCTCTCGTCCCTCCTTCCAGGAATGAACTTGTGTCATATTCTCTCTGATCCTTTTGCAGTTACGTGTAAGGATTGGGTTTTCATCCCTATGAGTGAGATGCAGGCCCTCTAACATTGTTACATGTCAGCACATTACCCATCTGACATGAGAAAAGGAATTCTGCCTTGCTTCAAAACGCTTTGGCAAATTCTCATCTACGCGGAAAACAAACACCAAGAGGAAGTAGAGATAATGAGTGTGGACAACCCATGTGAAAAGTTCAGGTGAGAAGGAGAAAATAGAGATTGGGCTGTCCTTGGAAGGGATATGGCATGTGGGGGTAGATGTTGCTCGCTGTACCCTGTGCCCATTCTCCCTCCTGCTACAGTAATAGAGCCTGTATGTTTAACTGTCATATTGAGCCATTCTTGCATTGCTATAAAGAAATACCTGAGACCGGGTAATTTATTAAAAATTTAAAAAGAGAGAAGTTTAACTGGTTCATTGATTTATAAGGAAAAGATCTCATGTGAACTAAAGTGTGAGCTCACTTTTCACCAAGGAGATGGTGCAAGTCACTCATGAGGGATCTGCCCCCACGATCCGAAGGCTTCCTACCAGGCCCTACCTCCAACACTGCGCATTGCATTTCAACATGAGATTTGGGCACGGACAAATACCCAAACAATATTAACTGAGTACCGTTAATAATGGCTCTGACCCCCAGCCTTCCTTGCAGCTAAGCATGGCCATGTGGCTAAATTCTGGCCTGTTGGGAGGTGAATGAAAGTCATACCCCACATGGAAGGGCTCTCCAACTCCCTGTCCCTCTTTCCCGATGCTGCTTGCAACAGTGCACGTTATTGTGAACTGTGTGGAGAAGGCCACCCCTAGGAATGGTGCGGTGAGGACCCTTAAGAAGCTGAGGTTCCTGCCACTAAGGTGCTGCTCTGCCAGCTTATGTGAGAGATAAGTAACTTTCATCTTGTTTAAGCTTTTTAAGTGGATTTGATTATTTGGGGTCTTTATAGCAGTCAGACCTGCTTCCCAATTAATAGTGGTGGTAAAAAAGGATCTTCACTTTCTTTAGTGAATTTTGAACATGGTCAATTGGAGGAATCCAGGAAAAAGTGAGGTTGAAAATACAGAGTGATCTGGAGTGATGGTTAGTACAAGCATCCTGAGAAGGCAAGCGGGAAGAGGTGAAAGGGTGTGGGGGGTGGGGCTGGCCTTGAGGGACTGCTCCACCTGACAAGGGGAAGGGCAAAGTGGGAAGCTGGATTCAGGAGACTTGAGATTCCGTAGTAGGAAGTTGAGCAGTTCCTGCCTCGTGCTTCTAATTTTCCAGCAGAGCAGGAGGCAAGGACCGCTACGGAGAAATCAGTCCAGAGCAGGAAGGTAAACCCGGCAGAGCTTATGTAGAGGCTCACAGGCAGGAGCGCGGGCTGGGCAGCCCTTCCATGACTGTCTGCGTTTATGTCATGTAAGAGCACGAGAGCTAAAAACCAGACACTGACGACTTAACTCCATGTCAAGTACTACACAAGGCTATCACTGAATAGGATTTGAGAGTAAACATTTGTTCTATGATTTTGATCATTAAAAATAAGAATATAACTGGGTGCAGTGGCGCATGCCTGCGGTCGCGGTTGCTGGGGAGGCTGAGGCGGGAACAGTGCTGGAGCCCAGAAGCTCTGGGCTGTAGTGCACTGTGACCATTAGGTGTCTACACTAAGTGAAGCGGGGGCCACCAGGCTGCCCAAGGAGGAGTAAACCAGTCCAGGTTGGAAACTGAGCAGGTCAAAACTCCTGTGCTGATAACTAATGGGATTGCACCTGTGAATAGCTACTGTACTCCAGCCTGGGCAACATTGCAAGACCCTGTCTCTAAAAAAAAAAAAAAAAAAAAGGTTAAAAAATAAACAAAAAAAGAATATTAAAACAGGTTGAAGACCTTATTAAATACATCCAATTTTTGAAAGTTTCTAGCTAAAATGTATTCATCATCTGCAGTTTTCAAATTATAACAGATCCTTTTTTTTTTTTTTAAACTAGGACAATTAGTACCCAAAGAAAACACTTAAGAGTGGTATTGGGGCTCAAAAGCCAGTACCCCAAAATATGTCCATTTGTACAAGTTGAACTCAGAAAGGAGCCTCAAGATCTCTCTGACCTCCTCGTCCCGACCCATCTCTCCCAAAGCACACGAGGAAGCTGTTCTCTGAAGCTCCCTTATCTGCCTAAAGTCTGCACCAACCAAAGAAGAAAACAATTGCCTTTAGCTCCTTCCCTGAGTTTTCATTAACTGAATCAATATTATAGGAAAAATGACTAGCATCTGCCCACAAATTTAGATGGACTTTTGTCACAAATCATTGTCCATTCTGTGGGCCCAGCACGCTCTGCCTCAGGCCATTGTATACTCTTCAAGTCCATTGAATTCCCATAAACGTCATTTGCTACCCTCTAAAATCATCCACACTTCCCCATCTCCCTGGTCTCTGAGAAGAAGGGTATATTCCTCTGAAGCAAGTTGGAGAAAAAAAAGAAGTAGAATACATAAGCCTCTGTACCCCACTGGAGGGTTGGGTCTTCACCCTAAAGGCTCCCGTGTTCATGTAAACTCTAATAAAATAATTTCGTGTGTTCTTTCTCCACTTAATCTGCCTTCTGTGAGTCGAATTTTCAGCAAACCTTCAGAGGGCAACAATGGAGCTTTTTCCTTTGCCTCAACAGTGGCCATTTTTCATTGTGAAGCTGGCATGGTCAGACACCACGCTGAGCTTTTTACATGGCTTAGCTCTCCATCCTGTAAATGGGTGTTTTTATCCTTATTCATAGACTAGGAAGCTGAAGCCCAGAAACATTAAATAACTTGCCCAAATCACACAGCTATTAAAGGGTCAAAATTTGAGCCAAGGAAGATCTGATCTCAAAATCTGTGCCCTTCCCCCTCCTCCCCGCCCACCCCCCACCCCAGACAGAGTCTTGCTTTGTTGCCCAGGCTGGAGTACTGTGGCATGATCTTGGCTCACTGTAACTTCCACCTCCAGGTTCAAGCAATTCTCATTCCTCAGTCTCCTGAGTAGCTAGGACTACAGGCGCACACCACACGCCCAGCTAATTGTTTTGTTTTTAGTAGAGACATGTTGGCCAGGCTGGTCCAGACCTCGTGATCCGCCCACCTCGGCCTCCCAGAGTGCCGGGATTACAGGAATAAACCACCTTGCTCATTGAAAATCTGTGCTCTTAACCACTGCTCTCTGGCTTCTCTTAGTGCAGGGGCTATTCCAGCACCTGACAGGCCAATCTCAAAGTTTTGCTGCTCTTCTAGAAAATTATGGGATCATTATGGAAACAGAATTTCTGGTGGCATACCTAATATCAGGGAGGCCAGTTGGGAAATCAGGTTAGACACACCCTCGTCCCCTCTCCATCCCAATTTGTGCTACAATAAGTGCTGGCCTACAGCCCTGTACTTTGTTCACACCGCCTGGCATTGGCACTACTATGGGCAAAGACCTGCCCGCACCAGCGAGGGCCTCCACTTAAAGTGTAGGGCAGCTGTGTGGCAGACTGCACAGAAACAGTCTGCAATAGCAACACCTTGTGGCGGCCTCTGAAACAATCATCAGGAGAGCTGCTGGACTTCCCCGTTCTCTCCATCACGCCTGCAGGAAGTACTGACTTCCTGGAACCCAATGCTTAGGATTCTTAGAAAGTTTAAAGGGACATTTAGATGATCAGATTTCCTGCTAATAAAAGTAGATGGGAGTTAGGGATAAAAATGAGAAACATGGCCTTATTTGTACATCATGTTTGTATAGATTGCCACCCCTGGGAGTGTCCCCAGAACAGGGCCCAGAACATGGAGAGGTGTGTCAGGTAGCCAGCTGTCCTGGGCTACCTGAAGTGTTGTCCCCCAGAACCTCTTCAGCTCCATTTACAGTGTCTGAGCAGGGGCTCAAAGGACAGCCCCACCATGGGAGAGCAGCCCTAGAAGCTGTCACTCCCTCTCTAGCAGGCACAACTGGTTTCCAGGTAATAAAGCTGCAGTGAATGCAACTTGTCAGCTAGTTCCTCTCAAACTCTGACTTGGTTTGGCAAGCCTGTGGCTTGTTGTCATACCACTAGCCGAAAAGGCCACTTCCCTGTCATCAGATTGCAGAGGCCATAGGGGCTCTTCTGAAACAGAAAGCAAGCTCTTTTCCGAGTGTTAATTTTATTTGCTGTATGTACGTTTTAGCAGATTAAGCACTTAGGGTTGTGATTTTTAAAATATTTCTTCTTTGGGCCAAGGAGTGTTTTAATAAAGCTAAGTTCTTTGTATAAAGCTGCTCCAAATCCCTGACTAATTAATTCCTAAGGAAACAGCACGTGGCTCACAATTACTGGCGGCCCCTCTTCATAAACAGAAACACCAGGGGAGAGAGCCGGCAGCGCACAGCAGCCTGGACCGTGACGGAACCAACCTACACATGTGGCTTTTTGTGACGTTTTACATGAAACTCCGGATTTCAAACTCTTTTTGGAGAAGCAGGCAGTCTGACCATAGTCGTTTTGGATTCTCAAAATAAAGAATGGCTGCTACCTTCTGAGGGGCATGGTGGGTGCCCTGTTCTGCCAGAATTGCCAACACGCCTATTGTCTTAGACTTGCCCAGGGTGTCACAGTCAGAGACAGCCTCCCTTATTCATGCTCCTGCCTGGTGCCCATGGGACTTGAATTTTCTCCCCTTGGAGGGGTGCGCGGCTCTACAGACACTTCTCGTCCGCCTCCCCTGCGGACAGCAAGCTCCTGGAACACATGTCACATGCTTTTCACTTCCTGCTCTATTGCTCCCACCCAACGTGGGCTCTCAATACGTGTTGAAGGCAAGGATCAATGAATAAATGGGCAACTATCGGCTGTAGCCAGGTATGTGCCAGGTATGGTGCTAGGCACCGAAAGGGCCACAAAGTTGTTAGAAGCTACACAGTATCAGGAAGCTCACGGCATAGTGAGAGAGAGAAAAAGCTTATGCAGTGTGTGTGTGGGACTTTAAGTAAACACGCTGTATAACAGTAAAAAGAATGACTTTGCCTGTCCCTGATGAAACTTCAGCAGGGCTGTGCCCTCTCTTGCCACCTTCAGGAAACAGCAGTCTTTCAGTTGTTTGCCCCTGTGAGTTACAACCACTGTCTCCTCTCAGGAGAATGTCCAGTGTTACCTCATCATCAACACTTTGAACTTGATGTGGCATTACATGTTCTCCCATCTCCCCAGCCACCTGAGAAGGGAGATGCGGTAGGTTTTCTCTCTCTCAGTCTCTCTCCCAGCCCCTCCTTTTCCCACCAACAGGCTAATGAGATTCCTGCCCGTAGGAGAAACGATAAAATCACAAGGTGGCGCCCTTGTCTCCAGATGTCAAGGTCGTCTGGATGGCAGATGAGTACAGGTGACTCTTGTGATCATGGGTGCTTTGGGTGTTCCTCAGAGATCCCCTAGACTGGGGGCTTGCCATGTGGAGCTAGGAGAATCTGAAGTTCACCTTGCACTTCCTCCCGGCTGAGGTTGCCGCATAGCCCCTACCAGCCTGGCCATATTGGGTGGGATTTCAGATGTCCCCACAATGGCTGCCTTGGAGACTTTCCACTGGTCCTCCAGAAGCAACAGTGCTCCCCTTGCTCTGCCTTCGGTGGAGGGAAGTTCCTTCTCTCTCTCTGCCTGGCCCCAGGCTGCTTCGGCTCTCTCAGGCCCTGGTCCCTGGAGTCCCCAGCTACAGAGAACCTTGGTTTCTCCTTTTCTCTTGTAGGCTCACAGCATAGCCCTGTCCCAAGACATCATCCCAAAATTACCTCAACCGTTCTATCGTCCTCAAGCTGATCAGGGGAGGGAGGACCAAGAATCTTGAAACCTAAACACTACATTCGATGATGTCCCTCTAACTTATTTTGGAATCTGATATCTCTTTAACAAAAATTATAAAAATGGAGGCAAAGAGAGCCCTATTTTTACATCTTGTTCTAATAAATAACAGGCACCCTTAAAAGAATGCAGACAAACACTTCTATGGAAATTTAAAGGAGCATAAGCCTTCTTCCAGTATAGGGAGAGAACCAAGGAAGACTTCCTGAAGGAAGTGGCCTTTGAGTGGGCCTTGGACCATGTGGAGATCAGGGGTGAGAGTATTCTGGGCAAAGAGTCCAGCATAGGGAAGGCTCACCGGCAGGAATTGTGACATATTAATGCTGTCTTAGAGACATTTACATTGCCAGAAACAGATACTCAAATTACTTCAAAGAGAGAATTGGAAGGGTTTCTGTGAACACCTCCAGAACTGTGGTTCTCAAAGTGCAATCCCTGGGCCAGCAGCATCACCTGGGAACTTGTTAGAAATGCACATTCTCAGATTCCACCCCAGAGCTTTGAATCAGAAAGGAGCTCCGGGGACTGGTGGTAGCAGCCCTCTTACAGGCCCTCCAGGTGATTCTCATCCAGGGAAGCTTGGGAACCCCTGGGATGGAATATTCTCAGGAACCCCTCCTTTGTGAAGAACTGATGACATAGGCTATTTCTAGGGAGGAAATGGGGCTGCTGGGTGCACAGGTGAGAGAGGTAGGAGGCTTTGTAATTGTGTACCATGTGCATATATTACCTATTAAGAAAATGAGAAACTAATGTGTTTAATCCCCTGTCTTTCCCCATCTGCTTCTCTCCTACTCTATGGCTGCTCCTCCACCTCCCTCCTCAAATGGCGTTCTCCAGTTCCTGGGTAAGCTGATTTTCTGTTCTCCCTTCCCCACTCTTCTCTTGCCTGGTCTTTATTACAAGGTGTGCCAAGCCTCATAAGGACTGTCGAAGAGAACAGAAGAGAGACTGCGCTGGTAGCTGTAGAATTCTGCCAGAAGAGCTGGCAGTTACCTATGGTCAACCGAGGTTCAGAAAACATTACATACAATAAGATATTTTGAGAGAGAGAGAGAGAAAGTGATTGCATTCACGTAAGTTTTGTTACAGTGTAAGAGTGAAATGCCTTTCGATGAGAGTAATGAGGAAGATGGGTGGTAGACACAGCCCTTCCCCTCGCTTCTGTAGCCTTATTACTGCATTGACCCTTGGCGTCACCTACACGGGGGGATGTTCTAGGATAGTGTGCTGGGACGCTCTTCTCTGCTTCTAATGGAAGAATGTTATTGAGGACGTTGGTTAACGCTGTGTGTTGACAAGACTAGCCATGCTGAAGGCTTACATCTCTCTATGTACAGATGAGAGCTGATCTGACTCCAGGCTTTGTTGCCTGATGTGTGGAAAGTGACGCCAAGACACCAAGCTGAAGCGCAGAAAGAGGGTTCTCACAAAGCAGCCAAGTGCGGAGACGAGAGCAAACTTCACATCTGCCTCCCTGGGGAGTTGGGGCTAGAGATTTTAAGGGGTCTGGATGAGTGTGGGGCTGAGATGTAGAGATCATTGCTTGGTCAAAGAGTGCAGGGTGAAGCCACGGGCTGGGGGACCCAGAAACCACATTCCCATGCCAGCTTGGTTCCTCTGTGGGGGTCTTCAGATTGGTTGGTATCAGCCATTCTGCTGGAATTCAGGATCTGAAAAACATCTTAAGCAATCCTTAAACGAAAGCCTTAAGATGCTAACGTCAGAGATCCTATCTGCAAGAATGATGGGAATGCAAATGGTCATATGTGACTTTCAGTTAGCAGGTGGCTACCAGGAAGTCTGCCAAGTGCAGCCTGATTAGTGCTTAATTATATTTCTGCCAGAACCTGGTGTGTAAGTTTTGTTAATCCTGCGAGGAGGCTTTCAGCAAGAGACCAGACCACACATTCTAGCAGTGGCGTTTTCTAAGGAGGCAAAGCCCATGCAAGTGTCTCTTTCTCCTCTTGCCAGGTGACCCTGGTATAGGCAGATGCCTCCCTCTCAGCCAGCCCGTCCCTGTCTTCCTTTCTGCGTGGAGCTCCTCTCTTCCTCCCTCCTGGCAGCAGGCTGAAGCAGCAGCACGGGCTCCTGGCATGGGAGGAAGCACATAGCCCCTCACCCTGGCCCTGCTGCGGATCCTGTAGGCCAGGCTGCCCAGATCACAGTGGCAAGACTGGAGACTCAGCTGGGGTGGCGGCTGTGAAATCGAGCCCGCCTCCCAGGCTGCGTCGTCAGAAACCATTTAGGACTAACGGACTTAGAAAAGGGAGGCTGTCGGCTCAAGCCTGTAATCCCAGCACTTTGGGAGGCTGAGGCGGGTGGATCACGAGGTCGAGAGATCGAGACCATCCTGGTCAACATGGTGAAACCCCGTCTCTACTAAAAACACAAAAAATTACCTGGGCATGGTGGCGCGTGCCTGTAATCCCAGCTACTCAGGAGGCTGAGGCAGGAGAATTGCCGGAACCCGGGAGGCGGAGGTTGCGGTGAGCCGAGATCGCGCCATTGCACTCCAGCCTGGGTAACAAGAGCGAAATTCCGTCTCAAAAAAAAAAAAAAAAAAAAAGGGAGGCTGTTCTGCGAATCTAAAGGTAGCTTCCCAGAGTACTCTGCACTGGAGCTGGGGGCCCAAGCCCCAGATAATAGTGTTACAGACATTCTGTGCCCTCGTTAGAGCCTACTGAGCACACATATTCCTTGGGAACCTCATGGGGACAAACTGCTTAGATTCATCTCCCATTTCCTAATCAGTTGTGTGGCCTCGGGCAAATTATTTCACCTCTCGGTGCCTCAGTTTTCTCATTAGTAAAATGGGCGTGAGGTCATTGTGTTAATGAATTTACACATGTAAGCACTTTGGGCCACAGTTGGTTCACGGCTAGCACTAAGCTAATGTTACCTGTTGCCACTCCCACCTAAGGCCAGTCCCTCCTGGAACCTGGCCCTGTCGGTGTTCCGTCTCTTCCTCTCAACCATATTCCTGTCAGGGTCGGTGGCACCCCTGTTCATCCAGTTGAGCTAGCCACAAATCTAGAGGTCA